TCCCCAAATTATCTTTAAGGAAAATTAATCTTTTTTGATTGACAAGGACTTTTTAGCATCCTCTAAACATCTTAGTCTTGTTTCCATCTTTTTCATGCTCTCTCTAAATACCAACTCCAATTAGGAGCCTGATCACATCTATTTAGATAAAAAATAATAATTACATATTGCATATATCAATTACACTTCAAAGTAAACAAATAAGCATATAACCAAAAATATTTATTATTAGGAGAATAATTTTTTTTTATTATCAACTAAATAATTTGAATTCCATTTGCCACCGGTAATTTTACGAACAGGAATAAATCAAAGTAGTTTTTAGGAACAACATCATTATCCAAAAATGCCACATTAATTGAAAGCTAAAAATTAATATTGTACTTATGATGTGATGTTCTAAAATGACCTCTATGAAAAAAACACTCCAAAAAATTTATTTGGTATACAACTCCTTCTCTTAAATCTTTTTGAAACTTGTATATCAAGATCTTTTTCACATATGCATGAATCCTATCTCCCTACAACACAATAAGTAAAAATAAAAAATTAAAAAAAAACGGAAACTAACGTCCATGACAAATATAAACAAACTCAGAATATAAAATATAAATAATCTTAGAAACCAAAACCGTTTTCATAGAAAAAAGGATTATTTCTCTTCCCAAATCAAAAATCAACCATAATTGAATAACCCTAACACTAATCTTCCAACTCTCCTTTTTGAGAGTCGATCTTAATATTGATATGGTTAGACTTGCTTAAAAGATTTACTACACACCTCTTTGTTAATAATTTTTTTTCTGCACATGTCTATGCTATATATAGGGATTTCACACATTAATAGGTATTTGAAATTTGAAATTTGAAATCTAAAAAATGTTTGTGAAAGAACCACGAAAGATCAAACATTTGTAGGTGAGAGAGATGTGTATTAAGTTGTTCCTTACCTATTTTTTTTTAATGTCTACAATGATTCAACAACTTTCATACTTTGTTACAAATTTTTTTTTTGCAATTTTTGTGCTCCTTGCAACCCTAACATGCCTCTATAACCTATTTCTACTTACACCTCCTCGATGAACCCAACTATCTTCCTGTCACTGGTTTTGTGTTAACAAATAATATGGGTTGGATACTCGTTTTTCAAAGTTTTCAAGAAAGTGTAACAAATAGGCTCCCTCTGAATTTTTTGGCTCGATGAAGAAAAAGTGAAAAGTGATGTTGTAGAAAAGGGAATCAGTTGAAGATTTAGGGTTTCGTCAAAATTGTTTCTATTTTGTTGACCATGAGCATTGAGACTCAAAGTCCAATTGGTGGACTTCAAAATTGGGCTTTTAACCCATTTATGCAAAAGAAGACCATGAACCATTTGCGTTTTGGGCCAAAATGTTCAAAAACCCATTTTTTGTTTGAAATTTCTATAAATAAATATATTACGATTTTTTATTTTTTATTTTTTTTGTGTTTCATTAGTTGTGTGATACCTGTCAAAACATTCTATTTATGCTCCCTTTAAGTGTTATTGTTTATGATACCAAACAACAACGCAAATGATGAAACAATATAATAACCTCATTATATAGATGATTTGTCTTCCTCAAATCGCCTAAATAAATGTCAAAGTTTTCATTATTTTTTTTCCAATAGAAAGTGCACATGGTGTATGGTGTAACTTATTGCAAAACCAAATAACAAATGAAATGGAAAATTGGAAATAGAAACTACAAAATGTGCAAGAGAAGTTTTTGTTTTACCACATTTTGACCTTTTTTACTTTTCAAAACATGGGCTTTGGGGCTTGGGCTAATGACCTCTTTTTACTTAAGTTAATATTATATATTATAAAAAAAAACACTTAAAAAAAGTTAACATGTTAGCTTTAACTTTTCTTTGCAAAATAAAAGTACTGGAGAATAATGGAGGCAATTTGTATTTAATATGGTTAATGGGGGCATTCTAATAATATAACTGAAGGTCAAAATGTTGGAGGGTCATTTGCCCCTACAATTGTATACGTTGATCCATTCTACCCATAGTAATCACTGGTTCCCTTCAAATATAACTGAGTTTTAGTAATTTAAATGTAAATTAGAACCAAAATGTACTAAATGTGAATATGGAATATGATTTTAGGAGCTCTCTGTCAGCAAATGCTTCACGTAGTAGTCCTCAATAGCAAATAATTCTAAATACAAAAGACCAAATTGAACTTATTTATAAACAAAAAATAAAATTGAATATATTAAAAATATCAAGGACCAAAACTATTTAAAAACATATAAGTATGGTGATTGCCATTTATGATGACAGTCGCCAATCATTTGTTACAAACGAAAATACATAAAAGGTAATACTCTCAATCTACATAAGTCATGTGGACTACTACAGTTATGATAACAAGCTAGTTTTTTTAAGTGCAACACCTTATCAATAATTGATCGCTTTTTCGTTTTAACTTGCATTTTTTTTTTATTGTTGTTGGTGAAGTAATGTGCATTCAACTACATAGGGGGTAAAAACTTTTACTTAGTGATGGATACAAAGAAAATTGAAAGTTAAAGTCTCGCAATACAACTGATAAACACACTCAAGCAATGCAAGATCCATTTTAAAAGGAAGAAACTGGATCATCTGACTCCGTTTATATTAATCCCTACAACATATTTAATTGAAGACTTTAAGAGATTTTCAGATTTCAAAAGGATAATAGGTAAGATTTTAAGAGATAAGATGTTCATACCAAGATTCCCAAGAGATAAGATGCTCAGACTAAGATTCTCAAGAGATAAGATGTCTAGACCAAATTATTCAAAATACTTTAAAGGACAAGATTTTTCTCTCGAAGATAAGTGTTTCAAAAATCTCTCTACCATGTTAAGAAGACAAGACATAAAGAAGATGTTTCTGCCATTTTCTTATCTATAGCTATAGACTAGGTTCCTTTGTAATAATGTTTGTACTATATTTCGTTTACTATCTATGCTCTTAATAATTTAAGGTTACCAATACTTTTATATGTAAATTAGACATGTATGATTTGCTATAAAAAGAACCCTTCGATGTATGTTATGACATCGAGTGTTTTAAGATAATAAAAAACTTTGTCTTCTATTTTACAATCTCCAACTCTTCTTACTACATTTCTCTTTCTCTTTGTAAGTTTTTCAGGTTCAGCTAAGCCACATGTTGATAGCGCTGTGAATGTTTGCTAAAAAAACCCAAGATATATGGGGTTTCTCTTATATTGTGAGATTGATGCACCAATTCAAGTAGAACAAAACATACTTTAATTAGCCATTATGTAATTAAACTCAAATAAAACCAGAAGGATTGACAATATAAGAGAAGACAGGAGACAACAATATTGTTAAGTGCGTGCAGCTTTTCCAATAATCATAATTTGATTTAATGTTATTCAAAACCCCCCAAACTCCAAAATAGAGCAATGATCGACACAACTGCGTAAACACCGAACAAAATGAAGAAACTCACCAATTTGTACATTCAATGGCTCTTGAAACAAAAATGAAGGAACTCACAATGAAGAAATCGAAAGCAAACTCTCGTTCAGTCTTCGAACCACCACCAAACTTCTTCTCCAACTTCACTAAAAAAATTATCCCATTTTCAATGCAGAAACTTGAATGACCCTTCATTCTTGTCTTCTCTAATTTTCTTTATGGTGTGTTTGGATGAGGAATTTATATAGGATAATTTATTTATTTGAAGAATTTCAAATTTTTTGAGGTGAAATACTTTGTTTGGATGAAGAATTTACAAAGAATTTGAAATTAAAGCATTTGTGAAATTTCTTAAAATAGTAGAATTTCAAATTCTCCCAAATCATATTTGTTTTTCTTATTTCACCTATATATTTTATTTTATCTCTTCATTTTTTTAATTATTAGATATTCAAAAATATTTTTAAAATTATTAAATATTATCTTATATTAATTTTTGAAATTATTAAATATTTAAAAATGGATTAATATTTATTTTTATAAAATTAATTTAAAAATCTCAACATATAAATATATTTTTTAAATCAATTTTACTATGATGGAATCAAATTATCATATTCAACTTAACAATTTAAAATTTAAGAAATTTGAATTGACTCATCCAAACAAAATATTTTAAAAATGATAGAAATTGAAATCAAAGTAATTCAAATATCAAGAATTTAAAATTTCTTAAATTTGTAAAATTCTTCATCCAAACACACTATTAGTTTCCGCCTCATCATTCGACTATTGAGTTTCAAATTTTCAAACTACTAAAAACGATGTTGTCCACTTTGCCACATAAGACATCAAAATAAATTATTTTGCAACATTAAATTTTTTTTTGAACACCTGACGTCACTATAATATCAATGAGCCAATTTAGTCTAATTTTTTTTTTCCTTCCTGGAGTATCCACCGTCAATAACAGTGATTAATCTTCTCGTTACGTTGGAGACACCTCAAAAGGTAGGATAGCTGGCCCCAAAATTTAACGCGACTAAATTCAATTTTTTAAAAAAATAAAGAATTAAATTTATAAAAAAAATTAAAATAAAGGTATAATTTAAAATATAATTTTTTCTATAATTATCTATTAGGCTTTTTTCTTTTTTGGTGGGGGTCTGGGTTCTTTCTCACACTGAACACGAGATCTTCCCGAAAAATCAAACCCACACTCGAGAGAAAACATATGAGCATTTATCAAGGGCGTAGCCCTAGCACAGCGGTCTTTTGATCAGACGGTCCCGGTTCGATCACGCAGCGATCATATTCCCTGCGCACGCCACCATTACCCCCTCGGTGCTCCACCGTTTCAACTTCAACGCTAAATCATCGCCTCTCTCTCTCTCTCTCTCTTCCACCACCAACCCCTTCTTCCTCTTTTCTCTAATTGGAAGCTGAATCACTCGAATCTCCAAACACCTCTTCCTCTTCTAACCGTCGTGGTCTTCTCTATCACTGCTTCGACTCGCTACTTCGACTCGTGGCAATGTGATTAGGGTTAGGGTAACTCTTTGCGGCTGTTGATTGATCCTGTTGGTGTGTTCGTGTCGGAAGCTTTTGCTCAATTGATAATTTAGGGTTTCGGTTATCGACATGTCCGATCCTTCGAGGGCTCGCGTTACCATTACTCTTGGGCGTAGCGGTCAGGTAGTTTGCAATTTCGTCTAATTCGAAATCTGTATCGTTCTTGTTTCGCCCTGATTGTAGTTAATGCTCTCTATACATGGAGCTTCTTTGTGTGTGTTTTCGCTACTTCGATTTTGTTCACTATTTTTTGGATTTGACTTGTTTCTACTTGCTTCGTCAAATGGTTTTCTCGAAAGATATCAATGAATATGATGTTTACCTTTTTTCGAAGTTTTTTGTTTGTTTTCCGATAAGTTTGTTGATACAGAATGCTTTTGTTTGTTGTTGACATCTAGTTATACATTCGGCATGACTTTGTGCTTGTACCAAGTTTTTTTGTTGAATTTATTTATTTTGGAATAAAGGAATGCAGTTTAATTTTCAATTTCCCATCTTCTATTTAACACTTGAGTTTAGGTTGTGAAGAGGGATATATCTACTTTAGATTCTTCTTTCTCTTCTCTTCCGTCGACTGGTACTAAGCGGTCTGTGCGAGACAGAATTGGAAACAATGCGGATAGTTCTGCGTGGCATGGAAATGGATATGGCAGCAATAAACGGTATATCTGTGGTTCCTTTGCTATCTATGGTGTCAGACCTGCAGCATTATACACACGAGCCCTTGCACACACACCCATATGGCTGACAAGAGAAAGAGATTATGCTGCCTGATTTTTTTTATGATTTAATTTAAATTATCTTTCGTGAGTTTTCTTGTTTGTATTTTCTGCAGACCGCGAGATATAAGCATGCAAAATGGACTGGATGGAAGTAAGCTCCCTTAGCAGTGAATTTATCACCCTTGCATCATTATATAATTCTATGGCTTTTGTGTTTCTAATTTCGTTTCTTTTAATTTACTTATTTTGAAATATTGGAAAAGATGATCTCCGATTGAAGCTCATGCGAAAAAGTGCATCTAGGCAGGCTGACAGTAATGGCAGTAAGAGGCATATGGATCTCCGTGAAAAACTTTCAAAGGCAACTCATCCTCTGACTAACAGTTATAATTCAAAGCAGCATGTGCCAGAATCAAGGGAAACAAGTTTGTTGAGACCAATTCCCTCAGCTAGAAGTTCTGATGATTTAATGCGTATGGAATCCATGAGAAGTTCATACTCTCCTTGGACATTGGATCATATTAGGAGAAGATCACCGGATGGTTTTCCAAGTGCTTCCAGGGGGATTTCCCCCCAAAGGGATGTCCAAGACATACAGAGAAGGCCATTAAGCAGGACATATGACAGCGTTAGATCAGTTCCATATGTAGGTAGGGGTGTTCTTGAAACTTCAAGGCCTCCAGTAAGTACACCTCAATCTTTCATGTCCCGCTCCACAATGTCCACATTGCCTCCAGTAACTGCTAAGCCCGTAGCATCTCATCCCAGCCAACTTCCTCCATCAAGCAGTGTTGCACAAAGGTCTTCATATGTGGTGAGTATTACTTATCTTCTGACCTCTAGATGTCCTTTTTCTCAATCCTTCATGTTGTTGTTACTTGGAGAAACTTTTCCGATGGCCATCTGATGGATATATGAGTTGATACTTGATTCTGTAATATCCTTTTGGCTATACCACAAGTTTAATGGAAATTTAACTTATTGGCATGAGTGTTCCTATAGTCAGAAAGACAAATGAATACATAAATTGAAAGATGCTTTCAGCATTCAATTTTATAGCAACAGCAATAACAGACAAATTATAATTTTCTTTGGGAGATTTAATACAATTACAAATTCATGATATTCCACTTTGGAATATGTTTTTGGGGGCTTGATATTTATAAATTCTGGGTGCTTATTGGTTAATCAGATCCTATATTTCAATATGCATGTGTGAACCATGGAAACTGCTTATTGTGATAGTTTAGAAGCTCTCTTTTTGATGGTAATCCCAGTTTCTTATTAAAGACAAGTGCTTGAGTACCTGGTTTAGCTAGATTTGTGGATTTGGTGATGTTAGTTTACTTGATACAGTATGATAAATGTTGTATAATTTGCACTGTCAATAATCAGAAAAACTAGAGTTTTTCCTGTGTTTGACCTAGAGTATAGTTCTGCTATTGTGATGTGGTGGAGAACCTGGTATTGGGAACTTAACAATGCTTGGGTAGTAGCCAAAATTGTGGCTGATATGTTGGAGAGAACGCATTAGATATTTACCTAAACCTGTCGGTCCTTGAGCCGATCCTACGTTAGCCCCAAGACGTTGGTATCTAACTAGAAAAGTAAATGCTTGAGCTTGAGAAGCTTCTGGTCCAGTGGGCCCGTAAAATTCACTAGGATAAGCGGTATTATTAAACCAGACAAAGCAACAAGCAATAAAACCAAAAACAGATAAAGCACCTAAACTATAAGATAAGTAAGCTTCTCCAGACCATACTAGTATGGGTTCTATGCCAACTAGAAATAGAAGTCCATATTGTTCCTGTCATTTCTTAGATAAGACATTTTTTTAGTTTACATCTATGATTCCACATCGTATTCTCCTTCAGAACCATTTTATGATGAGAAATTCTTAATTGCCATCAACAACCTTTCTGTGTCGCACTTCCAGCCAGCTGCACATTTTCTGGCATTTTCCTGCTAAGGTCAGCCCTTCAGTGAACAGCCCCTGTTCTGACCTTCCTTCTTGGCCTCTGTGTGCACTGTGCAGGCCAGTTTCCTCGCTCTGCTGTCTTTCTGTCTTCCATCCCCCTGTTCACGTCCATTGTGTCCTTGTGTGATAATTAGCGTTGTTAGCTCAGGATTTTTTACAGAAGTATGAAATTTAAAATGTTGATGACTCTTATTTTTCACAAAGTTGTTAGTTATGCCTTAGACTAACAATACATACATATACATATAGTTTCTATTATATAACAATATATGTACTTATTTAATTATTTAATTTAATAATGTGTTATATTCTTTTTACTTGTTATTATATTAAATTCCAATTATATATATGTTGTATGAATATGATATGATTATGTATGATTATATATTTGTCACTATTAAGTAATATATAATTATGTATTTATGTTTCTACATTTTTAAAATCTTTTTAAATATTATATAGTACTTTTAAGTGTAGGAGTGAGGGGTTTATAAGGCTTTGGGCTCTCAAACGAGAACAACTAGCTTTAAAGGGAGGGTTCGACAAGTGTTTGGATGCTTATCAATTGGTATCAGGGTTGGTTTTCAGTGTCTTGGAAAAGCTACTATGGGAAGGGCTTACCAGAAAAGCTGAGTGAAATGTTGTAAAGTGAAGATGTCAGGACTTAGTCTTTTAGGGGAGGTTCTATGATAAGGACTTGGGTATTGTAGGGTGCCTAAATCCCATATTGGATAGTATGGGATGCTCGGTAGAGTACTTAAGTGGTATGATTTAAAATCCTTGATTTATGAAGGCATTTTATATTGATAATGTATGACCTAATACTGCCTTTTAAAACAGAAAAAAGAAAAAAGAAGAGAGGTTATACCAGAGAAACTCTCGTTTAACATAAATATAATATTTCATCAATAGACAATTGCATTGGATAATGGATACCTTATTATATAAAACAAAATTACTGTGTCTTTGATCTTATGCTTCTCTGGCTTTTGCTTATGGAAGAATGTGCTCTACTCTTTGTATGAAATGTGAAGAAATGCTAGCATCCTATCTGGACAATAAGGTTTTTAACTAATGATAGTTTTTGTAAATTGACTTTATAGTTTTTACTGGTCCCTTTGAATTGATCTTGGAAATTTGATGTGTTCAATTTTCTGAACAGATTATAAAGTTCTTCCTAATGTGTGGCTTTGATGGTTATCATGTAGGGTGATGAACAAGTACAACAATCAAACCAAAATGTGGATAGCCTGTTACATGCACTGGGACTTCAAAAATATGCCATTCTCTTCAAGGCTGAGGAAGTATGTTACTAGTTTGTTTGTGTAAATGAAATTACAATGGTTCATTTTTTTTCTCAAATTTAATTTACAATTTGTGTCATTTGTTTAATGAGATGTCAAAATCATTGACTAAGGGAACTTTTGATTGATTTTCCTCTGGGACAGTCTTAGGCAATAGTTTGCCATATGATTTAATTCTTCTCCATCAGGATAGTTTGGTTCATTTTTATGTTTATGCATGAATTCTTCTTAAGCTCTGTGTTCTGTTTCCATGGTGGGGAAAATGTTTCACAATATTACTAACTTGTAAAATGCTCTTTCATGTTTATCGTGACATGAATGACTGAGAATTATAGTTCTCTAAATTGGTTACATAGTGGTTTCAGATTAAATCTATTGTTTCCTTAATTAAAAATGTTATAGTTTTACATTATCTGCAGTGTTCTAGTGTTCATTGACAAATTTTGTTTATTTGGTGTGGTGTGTATTTTTTCATGGTTGTGTAAATTGGGTAGTAATGTTAACAGTTGAACCATTGATTAAAGAAAATATGACTTGTAAAGACTTCTTTTTTCTCTTCTCTCAGGTTGGCATTCAATCTCGCATGAGGGGGAATGTTTCAATGATTAAACATACCTGTTAAATAACAGGATGTGAGCTCAGTTTATTATCCTGCAGTGGTTAATAAGTTTTTAGCTTCAATTGGCATTTAGACAATTCTTTACTCTTACAACTTGTAATTGAACTGAATTTGTTGTGTTGAGGGCTGAAGTGATCATGTATTGTCTTATGGCTTTATTTATGTTAATACTGAAGAATAAATTAAAGGAATATGAACTATGATTTTGATAAATTGTACACTTAAGCTATGAATTAGATTATTTGTAATTTTGCACAGTTAAATTATCTTATACACTGATATGTTCATTTAGGTGGATATGACTGCATTGAAGCAGATGGGAGAAAATGACCTCAAAGAGCTTGGGATTCCTATGGTAATTATTTCTTTCTTTTCATATGTGGCACCGGCATATATATTCAGGTGTTGTTCACTAAGGCTTACTGTTGTGAATATTACACCAAATATATGGATTTAGGCATTGTTATTATTATTATTTTTTGGGTGAATAGTGTTATTGTTATTATGTATAATTCAGACAATGTAGCATAACTTCAGTTAGTGGAATTGTGTTGGAAGTTATCTTCATGTTAATATTAATATTGTTTGCCTTGTTTATGTATCCATATTCTTGGTACTAGAGGCCTTGTTTTATTCCATGCCTTTCTCTTTCATGCAATGGCTTCATCATCAATGTTCAAGTATTTGATCGTAAGCCATGTAAAACAAAGTATAATGCCTTAGATGCCAAATAACCCTTAAAAATCTAAATTTGGCTCTTCTAAATTGAGAGGTGTGCTTATTGGATAAAGTAAATTAGAAAACTAACTATTGAGATTATACAAGTGCAAGTATAACAAACTTGGAAATTGTTTAGATATTTTTTGTCAGTGGTTATAATAAAGTGTGGCTCCTTACTTACGAACAGTAAAATTAAAAAAAAAAAATCCTAGTCTTGAACCAACCATTACCCTCTTGATTGTATTTCATTTATAAGTTACTGTTGTGTATACTTTTATATAATATCACTATTGAATATATCCTCTTTCACTTGTTTATTAACTTATTGCTGTTTTGCTAGAAGACATGACTTTTCATCGTACTGGCAATTTAGTCATGGATATGCTTTCTATTTCTTGCATGGTTTGTGTCCTATCAAATTGCATTAAAAGTTTCACTTCCCAGACAAGGCTAAATATAAATGTCCTGTAAATTTTGCAATCTGAACCCCGTGAAAGTTGGTAGTCCAAGTATCATGCTTGTCTTTATTTCTTGTGCTTGTGAATTGTGATGTACCTCTAAAATTGCTCCTGTAGTTTCCTGTAACAAAGATGAACAAGATTAAGAGGAGTATATGTGTTCGGGTGGGGTGTTGGCAACACACTCGTCAGTGGTCTTTCTATTAATGGGTAAATTCGTGTAGGTCTCACTAAATAACCTGTGCCCACACTACTCAGTTAGATCAACACAAAATACTCAATATTGAAGTGTGTATAGGTGATATTAAAAATAATGTGTTGATAGCATTTATTGTCTGTGTCTACGCAACTTGTGTTCGTTTTAAAAGAACGTGTGTTTTCATGTTCATGTGCTGAGTAGTGAGTACACAATTTGATTATATGGTGTTATATCTGTCTAACAGAGGTTGCTTGGGTTGCAGGGTCCAAGGAAAAAAATTCTTCTCGCTCTCTTGCCCCGTACTAAACGTCAACAATGATTGATATGTATCGCTCAGGATGCTGAAACTGACACATTGTTGGATCACCAGTTTCTTTTTTTATTTCTTTTATAATTGGGGTGATGGTTGGTAATGCACAGATCTGAGAATTTCACAAATATAACATCCCTTCCCTCGTCCCTTGTGGGGTTCGAGCTGTCGCATTTTTGCACTCAGGAACAAATTCGGCGTTTGTTACAAATATTGACATGTAATATATGCGGTCCGTTCTTTCTCATTTTTTTTTATTGAAAGAAATAGTAAATTGAACCATTAATCTGGAGTGATCTATCGATCTGTAACATTGTCTAAAATTAACACAGGTTTGCCGCCTATGCGTTAAGCAAGGTTATTTGTGTCAGCAAAGTGTGTTGAATCATTTTTATTCACTCCCTCCTTTTTAACAATTTGTGTAGCAACCCCTGGAATGATGGTGCGAATGTAAAGCGACCCGAAGGAGTTTGACATTTGGCACTCCTTGATGCATCCCTTGTTTAAAATATGTTTTAATTTCAGTCCCAATTTTCCTTGGGGTTTGGGAAGAAGACTTTGTTGCTGTGAGGTTAATTGATAATTTATTGGTTCTTGAAGGAATGTTGGGCTGAGCGAATCTAAATGTTTGCTGGGAATCCGCATATGCTTTACTTTCTCCCAACATTTAAGACATCATCGCATGTCGGTAAGCACCCAATTCCTGGCCCCAGATTTTGAAAATGAATTTCATGAGTTAAAATCTCTTTAGGAAATGTAGGTGATGCGTTACCAAATTAGATTTTATGTGGTTTCTACTTTCTAGAATAATCACTGTACCCTTGTTTCTTAAGTGCGTCACGTGTTACGGCACTAAAAAAATTGTTTCGTCACTCTCCGTTGAAGTAAGATTTTATAATGTCATATTCTTAAATTCGTCGTTGAGAAATTCACGTTAGTCTGCTACCAAAAACAATAAAATAAAAAACACGTTAGTCATTTAAAATGAAGCAAAAAAAGCGTTACTATTTTTAAGAAATTGCAAGAGTAGGCCGTGTTAATCCTTAGGTATTAGATACATGGTCTTTAAAATAACTAGTATGACGAACATTTTTAATTTCTTAATAATCAAGATGGGGTTTCTAGCTGTTTGCGTAATCTGATATATATATATATGAGTTAATCATCTATACATCTATACACTATTAGTGTAAAAAAATTTATATTGACAACCAATCATGTATTTTAAATTATTTTATTTTATTTTATTTTTATTTGATTAAATAAGCAATGACTTGACACTATTAAAAAATATGATTGGTTATCGGTGTAAAAAAATTTACACTAACAGTGTATAGGTAATTAACTATATATATATATATATATATTATGTTCTGTTTATTGGCCACGTTGTCTACATTTTTTTCTTCTTTTTATTGGCGTTGAGCACTTGAACTGTCAATTTAGCATAATGCAATATCAAAAGTTATTTTGGTGCTTTTAGTATGTTCCTCTTTTCTTATTGTACATTTGCTTTTTATATTCCTAGTTTCCGAATTTGAATCAGTTTATTTTGATTTTGAAAAAATTTCAAAATCACTAAATGTTTTTTATACTTAGCTTGTTGACCACTTTCCATGATTATGTTAGCTGAGCTACCCAACGTTCTGATGTTGTGGTAGCAGAGCTAATGAAAATTAGTCCTTTTTTTTTTCTTCATTCGTGAGAACAAATAAATATTTCTTTTCCTTTTTATTTGGGTATTTTTATAATATTTTTTTTGTCTATTTAAAATTAAAGACAGCACCAATTATTGTTTTCTAAATATGTGTGCTCATGTTTACCTAGTATTTAGATATTTTACACATCTAAATGAGAAAGAAAAAAAAAATAACAGTTGAAGTTTTGCTAAGAAGTTAAAAATACCTTGTAGAAGAAAAAAAGCTAAAAATAATTTTAACATAACAAATAAGTTAATTATATTTTAAAAATTTATGTGCAATCTTTTAAATAAACAAATAAAAATGGAAGTAAAAGACAGCAGAATTACTTTTTTTAACTCTGATAATATTCCTTGAAGTCTTTGATAGTCAATGAGATGAGTGACCAGGTGAGCTTAGAGAGTTAGAGGCATTGTACTAAAACACAAAAACAAAAAAACAAAGGACCTCTACCTTGAGAAGGCGAGCGGTGTGTCAGTTTTAACAGTTAGTTAACTGTAACGAATAGTTTTTCCATACCTAACAACCTACATAGCCTCATTTCTGACAGTTTTTGACAATGTTACACTTTCCTTGGGATACTGCTTTTTAACCTAAACTAATCCATGCCAACAAGCCAAATCATAATTAAATTTTTTACTCTAATTCAGTGACCCATAAAAAAAGTAAAAAAGCTACAGGCCTATTTCTCCTAGCAATCGTTTGTTGTTCTTACGTGGCAAAAATAGAATGCTCGAATGCTATCATGTTGCTTGATTATTAAGTTGCTAAATGTAAAAGCAACTCCAAGATGCCCTTAATTATATGCTGCTTTTAGCCCTTAGATGGGTCAGATTATATTTCATGAAGTTCTCATCACATATATACTACCTTCTCTCACAATGCTCTCTGATGTCACTTTATGCATAATACGCTACAAATGAAGTCAGAATAGTTTAGAACATGAATTCCTTGATCTATTGAAGATAGAGGTTTAAGTGGTAAGCCTTAAGTTACAACCCTGCAAGTCAGCAACACAAATAAGGTTGAATCTTCCTGGTTGTCGCATTAACTTAAATGCCTAAGTGCGTTTTGATGTACCAGTCCTAAGCAGACATTTCAACTTAACATGTTGTTTCTCCGAAGCAACATATTTTTGTCGTTTGATATAACATGAGTGCATTATGATACTCCAATATATATAGTTTAATTTTCCTTAGTCAGTTTTGGCATTCTATCATGTCACATAAAAAATTAGTAACCCACTTTGGATTTGTCCAAAAGCAAGGGCAATACCCAGTGGCGGGAGAGCAAGGTTTTTGGGTAGGGACCACGGTTTGATATTCTCAAACCAACGTGTAATAAAATGGAATTAGCTAGAATCAATCAATCAAACCAACGTACCCACCCACTTAGCCACCATAACCCAATCTTCTCCCTCATGGCCTCTTTTTATTCCACATGTTAGGATAATGAAATGCTTCATGACAGCATGCCTACTTGGAATTCTCCTCCTAAAGCAAGAAAAGACGGTTTAATAAGCATGAAATTTGAGAAAAAGGAGTGGGAATTGATGGGCATGAGAGGTTATTGGTAGAACAAGTCAACCAATTGAAGATCTAGTTAGAGACAATGGAATAAAACACAATCTAATGATTTCTAAATTGTCCCAAAAGCAACACAGTGTGGGGCCAACTATAACAACTGTCCAACGCAAATGCTGTGATTATTTCTAGAATAATATTATACTTGATGACTTGATTCACCTGAAAATATGTATATAAGTTTTATAAAATATAGGCTTTGCCTGCTCTAAGAAGATATGCCCAGATCTTATGGAAGACTCTTATTAGTATATATGCTTACATCATTACCCACTTCTTTTATTCCTTTTTTTAGCTTCTACTCTTTCTTTTCTATATCACAAGAGCATTCATAAAACATGGTCAAGAAAAACATATTAAGGGTCTTTTTTAATGTGATTGTGGGTGGAGGATAATTACAAAGAAGCTTTATTTAGTGCTGAATAATTACATTTATACAGATGTCAGCATTTTATAAATAACATCACATTGAATCAACTCAGGCTATGGCTTAGCATCCATTCTATTAAAATTCATTTGTCAATCTTTATAATATATGATTAGCTTAGGTAGAGGACAATACATGAAGCCACAAAGTCATTGGCTGGTCAGTAAAATAATTAGATATGAATTTTAGTACAGTAGTAGATATGTTATAAAGTTTAGTGCCCCCTCTTTCTTTGACTTTTTGCTGCTACAGTTAGTTTAATAACTTTAATCATGTCCTAGGCATGGAATATGTCTGTTTTTAATAAGGGAGAAAGCCAAGTGGAACTATAAATATTATTAAGTGCTTATAGACCATCTGATTCCACCTTAAATAAATTACAGTGAATCCTCTTTGATTGAGAAGTTTGAGGTGCATCTACTACAATACCAAAAAGAGTTCCTTTAGTAACAAACATTGCATGAGAGACGGCTTTCTCTAATCTGACTTTTCTTTTTATCTTTTATTCTATTGACCCTGGGGCACCCTTATGCTGTCCATGTACTATAAAACTAGTTATTTTAATAGATACACTGCATGCTGGGACTTAAAGAGTTTACTATAAAAGGAAGAGAAGCCTAGCAACTACTCACTGCATTTCCAACCTCAAAATATTTCTTTCCCATAAGAGAGACATGGAAAAGGATATCTGTGATCTTTCTCCAACATGGGATGGTGATAATGCCAACTCTACTGAGAAAAGGCTTAGGTTATTTGGCTTTGAGCTAAACCCTTCTAAAGAGGGTAGTGCCAAGGAGTCTGGTGAAGGAGATGAAAGTGTGAACTCCTCTAATTCAGTCTCATCAGGAGGAGAGAAAACTGTGCAAGAGAAAACCTCAGCCAAAGACCCTGATGAGAAAAAGTTTGAGTGCCAATATTGTTTCAAAGAATTTGCAAACTCACAAGCACTAGGAGGCCACCAAAATGCTCACAAGAAAGAAAGAATGAAGAAGAAGAGGTTGCAGCTTCAATCCATAAACCGTTACTTGCAACACCCTTTCCAAACCAACCATGGCTTTGCTTACCAACCCTCTGATACTCCTTGGTTCTATGATCCCTCTACCTATAACTCTGAGTTCACCCTTTGTGAAGAACCTCAGATTAGCTTCAATTCAAATGCTATAGATACCAACTTTTCTTGTGATCAGAAATCTAGTTGGTATCCTATAGCATCCCACTTTCCTTCACAGCAAGATACTTGCATGTTCACTTTCTCCAATTCAAATAACAATAATAATAGTCCTTTCTTCTTCAAGCCTTGCCACTTCCCTACTTCAAACCAAGGCCATAGTAAAGCCTTAGATCTTCAACTAGGCCTCAACTTGCAGTCAAATACAAGTTCTCTAAGAAGGATGTAATTTAGTATGTATAGGACATATAGGTTACATTAACAGTAGTTTCCTTGTTTTTCCTTGAATTATTTTAATGCATCAATTCTCAAACATTTGGGAAAAGAAAATGAGAAACAGTGAAAGAAAGAAAAAAAATTCATTGGAGTTAGTTGGCCTTGGCCCTTACAGAGCCAATCACAGAAGAGTCTGACAATGACCACCTTCCAGAATTCAGACAGCATTTACGATTGATATGATGTATTTATTATAGCATGTAGTTATTTGATATTTTACATACACTTTTCTACAATCTCAGTACATATAATTATGCTGCTTAGAAACCGTTCTCTTGCACTCTCTAAGTTCATGAGTTATCAATTTTTATATATTCATAGAATCATATATACACTAACACAGATGGATTGGACAAGAGAACTGATTAATTGATAATATAAATTAGGGTAAATTTATCTTCACAAAGGCCTAGTTGTAATGTTGCATGTCAAGGGAGTGAAACAAACTCCAAAGGAAACCTGAATATAGGGCATACAGAATGTAATATAAGGCTGTCAAATTCGAAAACTACGTATTTCAAGTTGGACTATTGTCATAATACCCTGGGTAAAACATTTGGTTTCTCCATTATTTTAGTAATTCAACGAGGTATAGGAATATAATAAAGACTAATATAATTGTAATATTGATCTGAAAATAATTTTCGATTTGGTGATAAGGTAGTTGTATCATTTACCTTACTAATTTCGTTTCATTTAAAATATAGTTCTCCCATGTGCAATTGCTTGTACAACTAACAAATTCACCAATGAATGAAATTAATTTTTCTCAATCCAGTGTTTTGACTTTTGAGACAAGTGTGAATCTCAATCTCTTATTGCAATTTATCGAAATATAGGCATATATGTTTATAAATTAATTTTTAAAAAAATTATAAATTAATTTATGTATAATGTTATTTTATTTTCTTTTCTTTTCATAAAAATATTTATCAAGAAATTTATCTAAACAAATTCTATATAAACAAGACTTGACTTACAGTACAGGTGTTAATATTTGAACATCAAATTAACTTGGGAAAACTAATCATCCATTGTCTTTAAACATTATAATTCTCCAAACAGGTCTGGTTTTGATAGCCAATGTTCAAACAAACTAGTAAACAAATCAATAAATATAAACATTTATTACGGTAAATTTACATTAAAAATTAGGGTATAATTAAGTGCGTTATTAATAACAATGTTTTATAAAAGAAAATGAACTTTTAATTTCTTAATCAATAATTTAAATGTATATTGTTTAACGTTTTCTCCTACACTCATATTGTGAGACAATTTATTTAGTAAAAATTTATATTTAATTCTTCTTGTGTATGGCAATTCATTCAACTAACAACAATTATATTATTATGAGTAGAATTAGTTTCTACCCAGTGGACTAAAGATACCTGTGGCAAAAAAAGAAGAAAAAAAAAATTGACATTAAATTGTCTTTTAGAAAATCAAAAATCATTAATGCAACAACCCTTTTAAATTTTCACTCCTATATATGCCAATGGGAGGAGGTATAACTCGATAACTTTCAGCTATCATAAAGGTATATATAGCAAATTAGTGCTTTACATGTATTCAAAGAGATAGAATCCTATGATCAACTTCATCATTCTATGTCCAAGAGAGGACTAATTTCACTCCATTATTAGGAGTAACGTACTTCCATTAACTTTGATATTTTGAAAAATATTTGAAATAAAATACTTAATATCCTAATCCTTTCATATGTTACTGTTAATTTGACTTTACTGTTGTTGATAGGCTCTAAAATATCATTTTCTTTTTGTCATAGTGCTTATCCCCATCTAACCTATATTGGCTTCTCTTTTAGACTTACCATATCTTCCTTTTTTAATCTCCCAATATTTTAATGCTCCCTCCTATCCTTCACATTCAATATCATGAATTTAATTAACTATCACCAACAAACTCTTAAGTGTAATTGGAGCTATGAGTCAGGGCATATATACATGGGTGGAGCAAATCAACGAGAGGCCTTGTTTTGAGGTTCTATGTGATCACCCTAGAACAAGAAACCAAGTCTAAGTTTAAGCTTACTGTAGAATTTGATTTGATTATTTTACTTGGATGAAATATGGCAGCGTTTATATATGTTTGTTAAAGAACAAACCTAACCTAGTGACCTATTACATTATATATACATATATATATATATAAAGAAAGATTCAAATCAAATTAATGTAATTTTTATCAACTATTACACCACTTAATAATTTTATATTAAAGGTGAATTTTGTTTAACCAACCGTTGAATTATAACTGCATATCACTTCATATGTGTATATCAAATTTTGTTGAAATTGAACAATAATTTGAAGATAATCAAAGTATTCATATTTTAGTATATTTTGAAATATATATTACGTTAATTTTGTTTTATAAGAATAAGATATTATATCATTTTAAATTAATATAAAAGTTTGTATATATGGTCTAGTTGTAGGGAACTTTCGATCTAACAATAAGTTTTGAAAAATTCATATTTAATTAAAAGTTATTAAACAATGTAATAGTTGGTAAAAGTTACATCGATGTTGTTTGAATCCTTTAGAGAGATATGGAAGATCCATTTATTTCAAGAATAAGTCTACTTAGACTTATTTCACCTAATAACTTATGCTCTAAACCAAATTTTAATGATCTAACTATTGAATTAAAACTCTTTAGTACGTAGATCGATTCTACAAAGTTTTAAGAAATTTAAAAATTATTTAATACTTTATTTTATTAATTCAAATTAGCATAAAATATTTTTATGATTATCTGTCAATTTGAATTAATGAAATATAGTATCAAATGACTTTCAAAAATTTTAAAAATTTGCACACTTGATCTAACATCAAAAGATTTTAATTCAACAATTGGATCATTGAAATTTGGTATAGAACTTAAATTATTAAGTGAAATAATTTTAGGTAAACTTACTTTTAAAATAAGTGATTCTCCTTTTATATATATATATATAAGTTTTATTATAAATTAACACATATCACAGTCACATATGATAAAATATTATATATTTATATCACGCACTTTTTTTTATTGTCAAACACTACAAGACAAAATAAATCTCCTTTTTAATTATGTTTCTTTAATTAATCCTTTTCGTAACCAGCCGCCGGACACATGCTTGAATGGCATTATTTCTTATTACTTATTAGTTTATGATTAATTAAAGAGAGTTTTTAAATGAAGATCTTGGTGATTCGGGGCAGAAAAACAAAGTCAATAATGTGCATTGTCTGTTCTTTCTAATAATATTTGAATACGTACTGTATAGTTGAATTTCATTTATATAAGGAAATTTGTTTCATGGTTAATTAAGAAACAATTGCTTGACTGCACACAATTTCATTTTTTTTTTAGTTTGGGGTAGGGGTAGACTGCACAGATGTATATATTATTCATATTGGAAATGGAAAGCAACGTCTTCAACAATATATACTATTATATAACTGAAAAAGAAAAAAAAAAAGTTTAATCTCCCTTCTCTTTTTAGTAATATTTGAATACATACAGATTAAAATGGATGTATATATTGTACGTGATCGTTTGAAAACTACTCAATTTCTTGAGGTTGAATCATTATAATAAATATTACACATAATGACATATAAAAAAATATTATTATAAGTATAATATATATAAATATATATTTATTTGATATATAATTACACATAATTTTAGTATTAATTTTGAATAAAATTTAATAATGTGTGTCATTATAGATTATACTCACACTTTTTAATAATATATATCAACATATATTATATTTATTATATAGATAAGAATAATTTTTAATAATACTTATTATATCATTATAGAATTTATGTCAATATACAAAAATTTTCTTGTAGTGAATTAGGCTTCGATTTACATTATTCAAAGATATAAAGAAAACCATAAAAATTATCTGCTGATAAGATTACAAGCAGAAAAGTACCGACTGCATAATTTTGAAAGAAAAGAAATATCATTTCATAAATATTGTGGATCATTCTCCTAAACGTTATTCGTTCAAGAAGGTTCTTGATCTTTAAAATTAATGTTAACATTTATAATTTTATGTTTTTATTGTTTCTTATGTAATATATTTTATTTTAATATTTTATAAATCATAGATATAATTAACTACATCATTAAATTTATTTAATTTTTATAATTTGGCCCCTGTAATATAACCTGACTCCGTCCTGCTTCCAAAGTAGTATATTAATTGTTTCTTGATAAATCTGTCTCCTTTCTTTTTTTATTTACCATTTTTTTCTTTCTAAATGTTTGGAATTTTGACAAATGAAACGGGTCAAGGTTCTCTTTGTAAATTACATATTTATGCTGGGTCACCACGAAATTTGTGGATTCTCTTTTCGTAATATGATATGACCCACTTATCTAAATGCGCGAGGTCCCAAATTTCACTATTATTTTTATATATAAACTATATATTCTTATTAATTATGTTTTTATTTATGTATTTTCTGAAAGATAACTCAATTTTATACTTTGTTTGAATTCTTCTCCTCCTAGCTACCTACTGTTTTAAAATATAAATCCATTAAGTTGTTTTCAAATTTTAGTCACATTTTTTACAGATTGTTTCCCACGTCATCATTCTAGACGTTTTTCCCGACATAACAAAATATATAATATAGAATAAAAATCAACTTGATTAGTAGTATTAATCATCCACTAAACTATTGTGTAAAATATTATAGCTTTAATTAGTCTAATGAAGACCCCGTCATTTGATTGGTCTTAATTGGAATGGTGCCCAAATAATGTTATTGATTTCTTGATGGCTTTGCTAATCATTCATATTTGAATCCTTACTTCTAATAATAATAAAAATATGTTATTTATTTATCTCATGGCATGCATTCCCCTTCCATGCCAGCACTAAGCATATTATTTTAATGATTCTTATATGTTCTATCTTTGTTTACGTTTGTTTGTAAATACTAATCCAAGAACACATGACACATGTATCATTAATAAATGGAAAAGAAAATGAAGTTTGGAAATAAAATTCTTTCGTGACTAGAGAATATAATGTACGTGATGTAGGATAATTACGAGAATCTTTATCTTGAAACAAAAATAAGACGAAACTTAAGTGGCGTAACTGGTTAAGAATAATTTGATCATTTATTCCAAATAATTAATTAGAATATATTATTTGTAGTTCTCAATAATATTGAAGGATAAAGCTTTAATTTATATATAATTGTAGGCCAATTATATTG